CCCTGTCGGGCACACGAGCTTGGACGAGTGTGAATGGTGGAGAGGAGTCAGGGTGAGAGAGAGCGCAATGTTAACGTGTGTACACACCTACGGAGGTGTGCGTGCGTGTGTCTGTCCTGATAAGATACGCCGCCTCCCCTCCGTCTGCCTGCCCCCTTTTGTCCAATTAGCAGTTGGTGCAACGGTCTTACGGCTGACGGAACAGCCAATAGGTAGGCGGGAGCGCGCAGCCGCCTACAAACAGTCCCTGTCAAAGCACTCAGCATGACACGTGTGAGATCGCTCACGAGCAACGTGCTAGTAAACCAATCAGCGAGTTGGCGAACCTGCTTTGGTCTCCGAGTGGGCGTGCAAAAGGAGGCGGAACTGGGATTCCTGCCTGGTGGCCCAATGCTCGCTCGGCTTCACGTGTAGCAGCTCCGCTTGCTTATATCTCAGCGAGAATCCAATTATTTATAGTAGTTAGTACCTGTAATAGTGAAGTCCAGTTTTCAGGTTTTATTGAATTAATTATCCAACATGGATTCAGAATCAACGAAAAAACATCGATACATAAATTCATATTCAGATGAGTTTTTTAAATAATAAAAAATGGGTTTGAGTTTCAGGAATGATTAAAAGAAAAAAACTGGGGCGTGATGGATAACCGGGACTTGGGGCCGGAATTGGTGCCTATGAGAGGATGGAAAGTTGCATCTTCATCCGTGATATGCAGACTGTGTTTCAGAGGGATTTTTCGTCGCCCATTTAAGAATCTATCGACTGGGTGCCAGGCGACAGACGGGAGAGTGTTCCCTTCAAGACAAATCGGTTAAAGAGCACGAAAGTCACCGCCACGAAATATAAACTCGGTGGATTCAAAGCCGCGCTGTTACGAAAACTGCTTTGACGGTAAACAGCAAGTAATAATTTTTTTGACCTGAGGAAAATTTTTCACAAATATTTCTTTCTTAGATAGCCTATTTCGGATAGCATTTCATTCATTAAAATGAGCAGACGATGTTTACCTGGTAGAGGAAGAAGTTGGAAGACTTCGCGTTGGCCAAGGGTGAGGTCAAGGGTGATTAAGATATTCCAAAAAAAGACAACGTAGTCCATTGAACAGCCAAAATAGTTTTCTTATAATCGTCGAAGACAGAACGGATCAAGGTCTGTGATTCGACAGCGTACTTACTAGGTAATATTTTGAAATCTCGTGATAATAATTCTTTTGTTAAAAAGAAGCTGGATATATCCAAAGTTCCTCCGCTTGCCAGCGTCAAGAAACTAAATAAAAAGAGAGCAATTTTCTAATCCAAGTGAATTTGAGGTTTGGCTGCTTTCATGCCGCCAGAGGATAAATCTGGAGACAGAGACAGTTGTAGCTAATGGGTAAAGTCAATTACGAATCCGAAATAACAGGCAAAGATACAGTTTTCGGTTTTTAACCCTCCTTTTATGGAACTCACCCTCTCACCTTTATCGGCAAATTCGGTCCTCAGGCAACCTTACAGGAACATTTCACACCCTTTTTGCATTATCTACAGCAGCAGCAGTAGCATTAAAAGATGCTCATTTGTGAGAGTTGACCTACATCATCGACGTCGGAAATTCTCTTTACTTGAATAAATGCTGCCATTTATTTGGAATAAAATTGTTGCCGTAATGACGTCAGTTCAACAGAGCCCTCCAAAATTTAATTATATTCTTGCCTTATGTGAACAGTAGACTTAATTTGAAGAGAGCAAATGATTGGAGGTCGGTCACGGAAGTAGGCACCCACTCCCCTCATATTGCAGATCGAGGAAACGAAGCTCAAAGACACTATCAATTACCTGAAATTCTATGGTCGATACGTGGAGGACAAATAAGACCACTAATATCGATGGTCTAGTCCCTAAATTCAATACGGCCCGCACGGAGCTAATATTTACAGTGGAAAGGGAGGCGAACAACGAAATCGCTTTCCTCGATGTCCTCTTACATAGACAAGAGGATGGTTCGATACAACGCCGAATATTCAGAAAGTAAACCTGGACGGGGCAATACATTAATTTCCACAGCTTCGTTCTCCTTAACCTCAAACGGAACTTAGTACAGAGAATGGCAGCCAGAATACGCCGCATCTGCTCTTCTCAAATATCGGAAACAGAATTGAAGCAGCTACAAAACACACTCCATGAAAATGGCTATCCAGAAAGGTTCATCCTTCGGTACATCAAGGAGCATGTCACAAAGGCCGCAGTCGCAACGACGGAAAAGAAAGATCTATTCACAAGATTTCTTTTTATGGGAGATGCAGCAAGTGAACTGGTAAGACGACGCCTGGGGACAGCAGTCACGAGTGCCTTCCCGGCGACATCTATTCTTTCACATGCTCCTGTGGAGCGGGATATGTTGGCCGAACAACACAACGTCTGAAGAAGAGAATACGCGAGCACCTACCAGTCTGGCTCAGCAAAGGAGAGAATAGATCGATCTCAAGCTCAATCCTCGCCCACCTAATTGATATGAACCACCAAATGGACGTGAGAGAGACCTTTCGGGTCATAAACCACATGCTGACACACTACTCAAAAGGCCTGTGCAAAAGGGTTCTAGGCACAGCAGAGGCAGTAGCAATCCGGCTAGCAAAACCAACTCTATGCTGTCATAGGGCGCTGCTACAAGCAATCTGCTTCCCTTGGCCGACTGCACGCGGAAATTCCACGCCCCCTGAAGCCAAATCGTCCGAAAGCACAAAACGAAGCCGCAGAGTATAGACAAGTGCACGCTGTGCGGTTGGCATACAGACCTTAACCCGCTGACCGTGAGAACATCCCCCGTATTCTCTGCGCATCGCAACCAACGTCCTACACGCGCTAGCGCCCACATTCAGGAGACGAGAGAAAACTCAGATGCTTAATTGCACTCACCTACCAACCCCCTTTCCCCCCCCTAACCTGTCGATCATATGAACGCTGAAATTAACTGACCATTTTTAGTCTCTATGCCACTGTACCGGCCCGATGATGAATGACCGAAAACAACTGTTTGCCAATATGACTTCTCTATTGTGTGTGAGTTTGCGCTAGATTCCATGGGGTTAAATATTTTTTCTTCCTAACTGGTAACTGTTATTTCCGGCTGAACAGGGTTGAATTTTCTCCATGTCCCTTCTCCAGCGACTCTCCTGTCCGGCCTACATATGATTGTTTCCCTCTTACAAAAGCTGTCTCCCTTCCTGGAGAGTCGCGTGCCCGTGTCCCCTTACTCCCTCAACTGCTGTTCGCCCTTCCCCGTTAACCTTGCCCCCTCGATTGCACACGCGTGCCCAAACAGCCCGTAGCAAAGTAGCACTTGNATTAAATCCCCTCCCCTTCTTCTCGGGCCAACACAGGAAAGCGGACAAAAGCCACAGCTGCCATGCCTGGACACACTTGACCCAGTTTTCCCTTCGCGTGTGATATAGCAGC